AGACTCCATCGTTCCGTTTGACTACTCGCCTGGAAAACCCTTTTATACATATTGATCGAAGAAGGCATACCACAGCCTGCACTAAATTAGGAAGAAAAGGGAAACGTTTAAACATCTACATTAAATTAACGGTTAGGTTTCTACAATGTCTTTAGGTCCAGTTTCTAGGGAGATGTTTGCTTCAGCGCTTCTACACATGCTTAATGGTTCTACTTGAGTGATAGATTCAACCAAGCTTAATTTGGCTAGTTTTGCACAAAATGGAATGCTGCCATCTGATTATATTTTTCTCCTCGTTGGTTATAGACAATAATAGCAAACGTTCGTAACGTCCATTTCAATGATTTCGATGCTTTTTTGAAGACGATACTCTGGCCCATCCCGTCGGGGCCGACTCGGGAGGTGTGGGACACTACAGACCAGCAGAAAAAGAAGACTCTCGTGTCATGGCACCATGGAATCAGGCGCTCGTCACTTTTGGGGCATGGAATTGTTGTGTGTTATCTTAAGGCTTTTTCGTTTGTCTTGTTTTGATGTAAAATTACCCATCTATTGCAAATATAGGTGGAGCTATTTGCGTTTAAAGGAGGTTGGGGTTGCCTTGTTTCAAAGGTAAAATTAGCAAAAAAATAGCCACCAAAGTTTGGTGGCTTCCAAAGCTTGACGGTCCTTGGAAACTGCAAATTCACATTTATAGTGCCTTTGGTCAAGATTTTACTTGTAAAATCCATATAGAAAATGTTTTTCTATATACATCAAAAGTGTTGAGCAAAAACAGAAGTCCATGAAAATTTATCAACCGGAGAAAAATGTCAGATTCTTCTATTTCATTATTTTGACAAGGGCTTGATTTCACCACGATGACACACATAAATTCTTCCTCACTTAGTAATCAATCTCTCGTCTTTTATGTTAAGACAAAGGAACACCAGAGTCGGCCACCCCCACCCCCCACCCCCTCCCCTGCAACCCCTTTACCTCTTCCACGGTCCCTAAACCCTTTAACTGTCAATGGTAATGACAGACCGACAACACCACAGGCCTTGTGTGCAGCACATAATGGGTTTCCGCGAGATAAGAGTGTAGCTCTACGCATGGTAAAAATAATTCGCTGAGTGTTTCCTTCAGTTTGTCCAACACAAAGCGGAGTTTGAGGACAACAGCCTTTGGCAGTATTGCTTAAAATAAACTGTACCAAGATGGCATTTTCCCCCGTGGAATATGAAAAGACAAGAGCAGGAAGAACCCGGAAGTTAACAATTGTTGCTGCGTGACCACTTCCACAAGCACAACTGCAAGAAAGAACGACAGTTGAGAGAGGTTGGGAATTAGTCTAAACAAAACGTCAAGCAACGTATACGACAGACAGCTTTCTACCTCTCACTTTCTCGTTCTGAGTCTATCAATGATAATAATGGCCGCTAACTTTGATATTTACTATTATTTGGTGTGTATTTTAGTATGTTGTCACATGCAATGAGCATAGCGTCTGTTTATTTTCCCCTCATTTATTTTATTTCTGTACATCCGAAGCATGATGCCTTGTATACATTGGCTTGTTGCTTTAGTCATGGTGGCAATGTCGTGAAAGTTGCCAGCAATATACATTTGAGCGTCTTTGTTTAGGTACATGTTTTACGGCGTTCACAACTACATAAGGTCACATGAGTGCGCAGGGTATGAGCGTCATCAGCTAGGAAATGGTAATTCATTTTGTATAATTTTTTTGGGAATGTGAACAAGAGGTTGTGTGTTAAGTGTTAAATTGATGACCAGAATACCGAGCGCTGGGGAGCACAGTATTTTCATTTAAGAAGTATACTTATCGTAGACGTGTCTTGTCCTATCTACACTGTTTGAAAACGATCTCTGTGGTATGACGCAAACCATTTTAATGCAGTGATAAATTTTCAAAAACTCGTCTCGAGTCCTCTCATAAGGATGTCATGATCTATTGTATCAAAATCAGCTGGCAGCTCTAATAAGGTCGGTAAACAGGCTTTTGTTTTACCTCACAATGTAATTCAGTATGCCAGATGTTACTTTTAGAATAACTGTTTCAATGCTATGGTGTACTTCACAAGCTAACTGAGATGTTTTATCAAGACCATCTAATCAACTGTGAGTTAAGAGTTGTTTCAGTACCAGGTTTTTTTCTAAAAGCTTTGGTAAAAAAAAGGGGTAAATTAGAAACTCTAGTTTAAAATCTCTGTGTTTTTCTCTTCAAAACCTACCTTCTTCAAGAGGTGTTTTGCATTGGTCTACTTAAAACACTTCGACATAATGCCATTCAAAAGTGAATGGTTCACTATTTCAGTAATTGATGGTGAGATATCTATCTATCTATCTATCTATCTATCTATCTATCTATCTATCTATCTATCTATCTTTCTATTTTCCGTTAGTATCTCTATCTATTCATCCCAGTCTCCATGCCTTATTGCCCTTTTCTCATTACATCTCAGACTGAAAGCATAATATACTTTTGTGTGTTTGCCTG